TCTCTCTCTCTCTCTTCTCTCTCTCTCTCTTCTTTTGCTCCCTTTTTCCAATTTCCGTCCCCTCACAGCCCACCATTCTCCCCACTCCTCTCCCCTCCACCCCTCATCTCTCCCCTCACCTGTTTGGTCCACACCTTGAGCCACGTTGCATGGGAGGACGGAAGACTCCCTCAATCCCTCAGATAATCCTTCCATTAGTAAACCTAGATAGTGTGTGGTGAGGGTGAGAGCGTGTGGTGAGGGTGAGAGGTGTATGGTGAGGTGAGGAGTGTGTGGTGAGGGTGAGGGTGAGAGTGAGTGGTGAGAGGTGAGAGTGTGTGGTGAGTGGTGTGTGGTGAGAGTGAGTGGTGTGGTTGAGTGGTGTTTGAGAGGGTGAGTGGTGAATGGTGAAGAGTCAGTGGTGAGGAATGTGTGGTGATCTACTGTTCAGCCATAACATCCATCCATCCATCCATCCATCCATCCATCCATCCTAGCCAATCACAACACCCCACTGAGTGTACTTTTGGCCAATAGACGACGCAGGAGCCGCCACTGGTACAGATGCATCCCAGCGGCAATTAAAACTTAGCCACGCTAGGACACATCACCAGCCTGGATGATTGACAAATGGGGGACGATGTAAACAAGGAGGAAGAGAGGAAGAGGGGAAAGGAGGAGGAGAGGAAGAAGAGGAAAGAAAGAGGAGGAGAGGGAGATGGGAAGAAGGAGGGTTAGAAGAGAGTGAAAGGATAAAAGATGGGTAGTGAGGTAGTGAGAAGGAGGATACTTGAGGAGGTGAAGAAGGAGGCGAAAAGGAGGAGGAGGCGAAGAAAAACAAGAAGAAGGAGGAGAAGATGAAAAGGACAAAGTAAATAAGAGAAAGAGACGAAGAAGATGAGAACAGGAGAGAGAGAAGAGTGTTATTGTACAAAGGAGAGAAAATGAAGATTCGAGGCAAAGAGCGAACGAGAGTTAAAACCAGGGAAAAATGAAGGATATATTGGGAGAGAGAGAGAAAACTAAAGAGATTTTAGTCATAGAGCAAATAAGGGAGATTTTAGAGTCCAAGGAGCAAACGAGGGAGATATTAGATCCAGGGAGGAGACGAGGGAGATATTAGAGTCAGGGAGGAAACTTAGGGAGAATTTTAGAGCAAGAAAGAAGGAAGAGACCTTTTAGGACCGGCGGTTTTTAGGACCGATGGAATGCGGAAGAGAGCCTTTAGAGAACCAGGTTATAATAAAGGCTGCACTTAAAGAACTTATAGGGGAGAGAGGAACTATTAGAGAACGAAGGGGTGAGGAAGGGGACGAAGGAGGAGGAAGGGAACGAAGTGAGGAAGGAACGAAGGGTGAGAGGGACAGGGGTGAAGAGAAGGGTGGAGGAAGAAGGGGTGAGGAAGGGAACGAAGGGGTGAGAGGAACAAGAAGGGGTGAGGAAGGGAACGAAGGGGTGAGGAAGGGGACGAGGGGTGAGAAGGACGAAGGGGTGAGAAAAAGGGGGTGAGGAGGGACAGGGGGAGAAGGAACGAAGGGGTGAGGAAGGGAACGAAGAGGTGAGAAGGGGACGAGGTGAGGAAGGAACGAAAGGTGAGGAAGGAACGAAGGGTGAGAAGGGAAGAGGTGAGGAAGGAACGAAGGTGAGGAAGGGACGAGGGGTGGGGAACGAAAGGGTGAGGAAGGAACGAAGGGGTGAGGAGGAACGAAGGGGTGATTGCGAGAACAGGAAAGGAAATCACAAAAACGAAATAAGAAAATAAAAGAATTATCTCTCTGTCGGTGTTGAGTGACGAAAGAGAGAGAGAGAGAGAGAGACGAAAATGGAAAATGAGAAATAAAACAAAAATGAATGAGAGAAAGGGGAAAATGGAATCAAATTAGACGGATAAGGAAACAGACACGTATGAGTGAGAAACGAGGGAGAGGAAGAAAGATGGGAGATAAGGTAACAGAGGTGAAGATTAAAATATAAAATGGAAGACAAGGGGAGGGAGAGACGATGAATAATATGAAATGAGTGACAGATGGAAGAGAAGAGACGAAGAGAGAGAGAGAGACACGAGAGAGAAGATGAAAAGAATGAGATACGAGGGAGAAAAAAGAAGGAAATATTAATTTAAGGGTGAAGATCAGTCTGAGGGAAAAGGACAGAAGAGAGAGAGAGGAGGAAGTAGAGTGTTGCAGAGCAGGAGGGCGTAAGGAGAAGAACAGCCTGAGGGAGAGAATTAGTGAGGGTGAAGGAGAGAGGGTGTTGCAGAGGAGAAGGGCATATGGAAAAGACAGCCTGAGGGAGAGGGTCAGGGAGGAGAAATGAAGAGAGAGAGAGAGGGAGAGAGGGAGAAGGTGTGTTGCAGAGGAAGAGGGCGCCCTGCAGAGCACACTATTACACACACGATGCTGAGGGCGGCTTGGACACCTGGTGGGCGGGGCGGCTGAGACAGAGCGGGATGGGAGGATGGAGGGTAAGACTGGGTACTTATGTTAAGGGGGTGCTGGCGTGGTAGGGGCAGGGGTGATTGCAATAAGAGGGTGCTGCCGTGGGTGGGGGAGGGGGTGATTGCAATAAGGCGGGATAAGGGGGTGTTCGTGGTAAGTTGTGTGAGTAGGGTAAAGGGGGAAATGGGGCGATTGTAGTAAGGGGTGTTGGTAACAATGGGGGTTAAGGGGAGGTCAAGCCATCCTTTAAGAATAGCGAACCTCCTCCAATGAAGTTCAAACCGCCTTCTCGGAGCTTCGAACCTTCCCTCAGACTCATTGAACACAGTAGTATGAAACAGTACCGGTAAGAATTTCTCACAGGAAGGACATACGATCATAAATAATAGTTCTCTTGTAATTCACTTTTTTCAGTTCCAAAAAATTCTAAACAAATTATAAACTGACGATTTTTTAGACATTCATAAGAAAGATGGAAAATATTTAGATTATATTTGTAAATGTTTATTGACATTTTTCTGGTATCAAGCTTATATTTTCTAATCTATTTAAATAGTCTTTCTCTTTACTTGTATAATTATTTGATACTCGTGAAATATATCTGGAGTACGAATAATGATAACTTTGCTCAAATTAAATATCGCTATTAATTCCATCTATTTTAGACCGAAAACCAAAATTCATTTAACATTATTTGACAACTTGACTTTTTACAAGGAGAAACTTATTTATTTTTTAGTTTTTTATTTTGATGTTGATATTATGTAATACTCTTGAAAGTCTATTGAAAGGTAAAGTTAACAGCTACAATAATTAATTAGACTATTATATTATTATTGATAGAGGTCAAGAGGAATTATCATAGGAATTATCAAGTGAATAGTCACTACTTTTATCTCCTCCCTCCTCAGACAACAAATCCCTCTTTCCTCCTCACTCGATGAAGACGACGAGGAGGAGGAGCAAGGAGAGACCCTCCCTTTCCTGATCACCTAATGAAATCAATCCTTGAAATACACACCCAAATTTTCCCGACAATTGATAGCCCTGCTCTTTCTTCATCTATCCATCTCACAAGGGGCAGCAACTTTCCCGTCTGCCATCTTCGGTGTCCGTGATCAAAGGACCCCCAACAGAAATTAATCTAAGGGCGGAGGTTGTGGGAGATGGAAGAGGTTGCAGTGAGTCTCCAATTGTGGTGAGGCCGGACTCCCGCAGGGTACTGGATTAGTGTTGGGGCCTTCTAAGTTTTGATCGGCGTGGAATAATCCTGTAGGTGGTGGAGGAGGAGGAGGAGGAGGAGGAGGAGGAGGAGGGTAAGAGGTGAGGGCAGGTTGCTGCTTGGTGTGTGAAGGTGGAGGAGAATTGAAATAATATGAAAGGGAGAATAGAAAATGAGGAAGAAGAGACGGAGAGAGGCTGCTGCTGAATGTGTGAATTAGGAAAAGGAGACGTGAGAAGTATAGAAGAGGAAGGATGGAAAAGAGGAAGAGTATGAGGAAGCTTTCTCAACTATTAATGTCTATGTTATAACATTATAAATATTTATCTGTATATTTATTTTATTATTATTATTATTATTATTATTATATTATTATTATTATTATTATTATTATTATTATTATTATTATTATTTTTTTTTTTTTTTTTTTTATTATTATTATTATTATTATGTAGCAGTTGCAGCACAGACATATATTCGCTGCTCATGGTTGAGGACTCTGGTAATTCTTTGTAATTTTATGAAAATTTTGAATACATGTTCCTGTGACTGTCTGAGTAATACAGTGGTGGGTGAGTCACTCTCTGGCAGCAGCAAAAGTATCGTTTATATGTCCTTTAGTTATTATATAATAGTGTTTTGTGCATTATTAGTCACGTTTTTGTTATGTTCTCAAGTATTCTCTCTCTCTCTCTCTCTCTTGTTTATTGTCTCCTAAATAATGGTTATATTAGCGAAACTCCGGGCTACCAGCGAGTGAATCTCCCTGTATAACGACCACAGAGACCACTGCACTGTAGGCAAGACTCACTATATTAGATTTATTTATCAGTGCAAAAATTTGGATAACTTTTTAGGGTTTAAATATATTGATTAATTATGACCTAAAAGACGGTTGATGACTCTTTTTTATCGACAGATTTTGACGTATTGTTTATATATGCGGGCGCGCGTGAGGGATTGTGGGCCTGTGTGTGTGTGTGTGTGTGTGTGTGTGTGTGTGTGTGTGTGTGTGCTACGCGGTTGTACACATGTATACGATAATGTTAACAACCATAAAACCAAACAAAACCTTCAATAACCAATACAGATAAAAGATGTGACACATGACCCAATAAGCTAAGGTGACCTGAGCTTCACCTGCTAATATGAGAACTTAATCCTGGCCATTACCTGATACACCCTACCAGAATTTCGCCGCCAAATAGTCTCGATAAATTCAGAATTAAACACACTTTAGGGGGAGCAAAAAGGAGAGAGGCGAGTCGGGTAAACACAAGTTGCATATGAATAGCCTCTCCGTCCGCCAGCAGCGTTTGTGGTCACTCCTGCTGCAACGAATCATTTTAAAAGCTGTTTGCCTGCGGAGAATGTGGAGGTGTAGTGAGGCCGACGTTCGTGCACGCATCCTCGAGCCATTCTGAAAGTAGGCAAAACCTGAGAAGCCTCGAGTCTTCGTCCCAATCGATGGCGGAGACATCTGGCAGCCAGCGAGAAGGAAGAAAAAAAAAAAACCCTCAGCACCAGAAGAACCCGACCACGTGATGTGATGGCGGCGGCAATTTAGCGTTGCTCCACCTACCCACCACCACGGCTTCTATCCCCCACAAGGATCATACCTCGAATATATTTTTCCTCCCATTTTTCCTCTGATCTGGGTGACGGTGGGAGGGAAGATAAGAAAATCCATAACTGAGGAAATAAACCCAAGCCAATAGGTGTACAATCGGAGTGTGAGAAGGTTGCAGGCGTAGACCAAACAACGGACGGCCGCCATGTTTGCCCAGTAAATACTTGCACACCGAAACTCTGAGTGAAGACAAACGTGGCCGGACTCCTCGCTGAGACCCCCCTCCCACACACACACACATTTACCTCCTCCTGCCACAACTTCCAGTCCCCAGGCCTCACCTTCAACCCGCCTATACTCCTGTTTCCCTCTATTTTCTTCTCAATAACTTTCTTTATTTTCTTATCTCTCTCCACCGTGGCTGATTTGGGTACGTGGAGGAACAATGCCACTGTCACTCACCTCCACCCAGATCTGTTCCACGAAAATCAGCCGCAATAACTTGGATTTTTCCCAGGAAGAAAATTAACGATGGTGATTCTTATCCTCTCTCTCTCTCTCTCTCTCTCTCTCTCTCTCTCCCCCCCCCTTTCTCTCTCTCTCTCAGTTCATAGAGTGGAACTGAGGGAGGGTAAGGAGGGCAGATTCCAGAAACTTACCACAGTAAAAGAACGTGAGATAATAAGACCTCCAGCATAATGACATCCGGTGATCTAAATTTCCTTCCTCTGTGTTCAAAACCCCGGCAACCTGCAACACACACACACACACACACACAGTCTCTATCTCTATCAGTTCTCTATCTCGATCTCATTCTCTATCTCTATCTCTCTCTTAAGTAGCTGGCAGAGTGGCCCCAGACCAACGCCTTGTCGGGAGCCGCACCTTCAACACCCACCTGTAAAAAAAACTCACCTGTCGAACCACTTTACATACTACCATAAAGCTGATGAGTAAAGGAAAGTCAGGGAGGACTAGTATGTTGTGTTTCTTTGTCTTAGTGTGTTATTATAAGTCAATTAACGGCGAGTTTTAATTTGATGATTGGTTGGATATAGGGTGTGTGTGTGTGTGTGTGTGTGTGTGTGTGTGTGTGTGTGTGTGGTGGAGTGTGTGTGTGTGTGTGTGTGTAATTTTATGGGTTGCATATAAAATAATAATAATAAGAAGAATATAATAATAAAAATAACATCTACCTGTCTACCTCCATATTAGCATCTACCTGTTCTACCTCCATATTAACATCTACCTGTCTACCTCCATTAACATCTACCTGTCTACCTCCATAACACTACCTGTCTACCTCCATATTAACTTCTACCTGTCTACCTCCATATTACCCTCTACCTGTCTACCTCCATTAATTATCTACCTGTCTACCTCCATATTTGCATCTACCTGTCTACCTCCATATTAACATCTCCTGTCACCTCCATATTAACATCTACCTCTCCTCCATATTACATCTACCTGTCTACCTCCATATTAACATCCTGTCTACCTCCATATTAACTTCTACCTGTCTACCTCCATACCCTCACTCTCACCTCCATATTAGCATCTACCTGTCTACTCCATATTACCCCTACCTGTCTACCTCCATATTTGCATCTACCTGTCTACCTCCATATTAACATCTACCTGTTACCTCCATAAACATCTACCTGTCTACTCCATATTAACATCTACCTCTCCTCATCCCTCACCTGTCCCTCCATATTAGCATCTATCTACCTCCATATTAACATCTACCTCCCACCATATTAAGATCTACCTCTACCTCCATATATTACTACCTGTCTACCTCCATATTTGCATCTACCTGTCTACCTCCATATTACCCTCTACCTGTCTACCACCATATTAGCATCTACCTATACCTCCATATTTGCATCTACCTGTCTACCTCCATATTAACATCTACCTGTCTACCCATATTAAGATCTACCTGTCTACCTCCATATTATTATCTACCTGTCTACTTCCATATTTGCATCTACCTGTCTACCTCCATATTTGCATCTACCTGTCTACCTCCATATTATCATAAAGACTTTAACCATCGTAAAATACAAAGCCATAAATGTCTTCGTTTTTGCAAATTTCCTGTTTATTACGTGTCACTCAGAGGCGCTTAGCAATTACAGAACGAAATGGAGTCAAGTTGGAATGTTTTTGTGATGTAATAATTCTAGCGTCATTATCTGTCCTATTACATCGTTCTGCTTTTGGTAAATTGACTGGGGGGTGAGGGGTGAGGGTGTGGTGAGGGGGTGGGAGGAGTGCAGGGTGTTTTGGGTGGTTAGCAGAGTTGTGTGTATGTGGAAAGAAAGTGGGGTGTGTGTGTGTGTGTGTGTGAGTGATGTTATGAAAGTCATCACCACCATTCCCCTCAAGCATCTCCTACTCACAGTTTCCCTCATAATTTCCTCCACAGTTTCCTTATAGACCCCTAATTCCTCCTATTCAAAACATATCTTTGGTCCCTCCAGCGACCCTTCACTTCCCCTCACAACATCGTCATGGGATGTACTCCTCCAGGTTGCAGGTGTGTGTGTGTGTGTGTCAGGTGTGTGTGTGTGTGGTGTGTGTGTGTGTGTGTGTGTGTGTGTGTGTGTGTGTGTGTGTGTGTGTGTGTGTGTGTGTGTGTGTGTGTGTGTGTGTGTGTGTGTGTGTGTGTGTGTGTGTGTGTGTGTGTGTGTGTGTGTGTGTGTGTGTGTGTGTGTGTGCAGGTGTGTGTGTGTGTGTGTGTGTGTGTGTGTGTGTGTGTGTGTGTGTGTGTGTGTGTGTGTGTGTGTGTCTCAGGTGTGTGTGTGTGTGTGTGTGTGTGTGTGTGTGTGTGTGTGTGTGTGTAACCAGTGGAATCCTTCCCTCACTATACTCACCTCCATAGCACCTTCAGTATACCTTACAGATATTATTGCGAAATACCCACATAACACATCCTCTATGACCCACCTCGGATTAACAGAGAGGAACGAGTCCTTCCCCCTCCTTCCCTCCTCCCTCCTCCTTCTCTCCCTCCCACCTCCCTCCCCCTCCCTCCATCCCTCCCAGTACGTAATATCGAAGGTTTAGGTGTGGAATATTGAGTTGACGAAGGGTAGTGCATGCAATCTGGAGTCCCACGTCAATCAAGCTTTCCTCTTCTGCCTCCTCCTCTTCCTCTTTCTTTCTCTCTCTTTCTTTCTATCTTTCTGTCCTCTTCTTCTTTCTCCTTTCTCTCTCATTCTTTATCTTCTCTTCTCTTTTTCTCATTGTCTTTTTCTGTTTCTCTCTCTCTCTCTCTCTCTCCCAGTAGTTATCACCACTTCAATGTCTCTTCAATTATAAAACCTAAGTTGTTTTGTCTTCGATTTTTTAGCAATAAATGTTAGGTCACTACACACCTACCTGACCTAACTGATGTATGATGTTGTTCGTGAGTGAGGAAGTAGGTGAGAGCGTAGAAGGAAGGAAGAAAATGGATGAAGAGAGGTAAGGAAGAAAGGGGTTAGAAGGTTAAGGTAGGGAGAAGGAGAAGTCAAGGAGGAGATGGGGGAAAAAAGGGTTACGGGTGAGGGAAAAGGAGAGTCAGTGAGGGAAAAGAGGAGATGGAGGGAGGAAGGTGGGAAAGGTAAGGGGTGTAGGAATGAGGGAAATGTAACATGACTGGGAGAAGAAAGGGAGGGAAAAGGAGACGTTAAAAAGGGGGACGTGGGGAGAAGAACGAAGGAGAGGAGGGAAGAGAGGAGAGGAGATGAAAGAGATAAGGAGAGAGGGAGACAGGATAAGGGGAGTGGGAAGAAGGGGAAGGGGAGAGGAGAAAAGAGAAAGAAAACAGGAAAAGTGAAAGGTGAGGGGGAAGAAGGAAGGGGCGAGGAGAAAGGAGAGGGAGTCAGGAAGGGGAGAGGGGCAAGAAAGGGTAGGAGTAGGGAGGGAGGGGAGAGGAGAAAGGGGAGAGGGAGAGGAGAAAGGGGAGGGGAGAGGAGAAAGGGAGGGGAGACCTACATTTATGATAGCTCTTCCAAGTACTGTATTGTGCTGTTTCTCTGACCTTAATAGAAAAGTCGAGGGTGATACTGATTGATGTTGAGGGAGGGAGGCAGGTAAGAGGGTAGAAGGGGAGGAAAGAAAATGGAGGAAAGGAAGGAGGAGGGAAAGTAGGAGGGACGATAGGAAGGTAAAGGGAGTGGGAGGGATAAAAGGGGGGATAGAGGGTAGGGAGGGATAGAGAGAGGGAAGGCAAGAGGAAGAATAGGAGGGAGGGATGGACAGAGGGTAGGAAGGAAGGAAGGAAGTAGATTACGAGAGGGGTGAAGATGGGAAGGAAGGGGGAGGGAGAGATTCTAGAATGGAATGTGGGAAGAAAGAAAGGAAAGGAAGGAGAAACGACCGGACGGAGAACAGTAAAAGGCATAGTCTAGTGTGAAGTGACCTGACAAAATCGAGTCAAGGTTGATGATAATGTTACAATATATTAGACAAAAAAAAAAATCAATATATATTTTCTCCCACATCATTGAGTGTCCAAGCGGGAGACACATCAGTTAAGGGAAGGTTTAATATATAGCTGGGAGTAATACCACATTGTATAACCTTGAATACTGAGGGTTTTTTATATATCGCGTGTAAAGAGTTAAAACAAACTACCGACCTTGATTTATAAGAGAAACGAAATTATTGGAAGAGACAGACAGACAGACAGACAGACAGACAGACAGTTAGATAGTTAGATAGATAGATAGATCAGACTAAAGTTAAAGAAGGCGTCTTTTTTAATGCGGATGAAGAAGAAAAATCACAGAAGAATTAAAGAAATAATTCACCAAATAGATTAAGAGTAACACACATATAGTAATTATGATTATTTTTGTAGTTAATATAAATAATCTAAATATAATGATTAAAAAGTGTAATTCCTGAGTTTT